AAAAAAAAAAAAAAAAGTTTTTGATTTAAAGAAAAGCTAAAAGTTGCTAAAATCTTCTATAAGAATGAAACCTAAGAGATATATAGAGCATTTGGTGCTGTATTGGTTTAAGGCCTCCATTGCTGGGGTGGGTGTGGGGTGGGGATGGGAGGAGGTGTCTTGTAATGGATCTCCTGTGGATGAGGAGGGTCTGCTGTATTCTGGAAGCATTGTTTGATTCTTCCTTCAGTTTTGTTGGGATTTGTTTCTTGTGTTTTGGGCATTGTTCTTTTATGTGTACACCTTTATGATGCTCATTTTTTCTAGTGAATTGTGGCCCCCCCCCCCCATACATCATGTCCTTCACCATTTCTTATAAAATCTTGTCTGTATCATCATTCCAGCTTTCTTGTTTACCATCTGCTGGAATATCTTTTTGCGTCATCATACTTTTCAGTCTTCTAGAATCTTAACATTCGTCTCATTTAGACAACATAGTTGTATCACTAAAAAAGTTGGTTTAATCTCACCCACAATGGGTAATTCTATCTATTTACAGTGAAAGTGAGTACTGACTGAGAATTGCCATTTCATTGTTTATATGTTTTGTGTCTTCTTGTTTCTTAATTCCTCCAGTACTACCTACCTTTTTATTTGATTTTTCTAGTGTACCATTTCTTTTCTTTGTTTGTTTTTGATACAGGTTCTTGCTGTGTAGCTCAGGCTGGTTTGGAATTCTCTATGTAGTATAGACTGACCTCAATTTCTTCTCAGTCTTCTGGTCTCACCTTCCCGTCCTAGGATTATCTATACGAGCCCTTATACCTGGCTCTTTATTCTTACTGTTCCATTTTGTATGAAGTATCCCTTTCAACATTTTCCTATAGCATAGGTACAGCAATAAATTCTTCCAGTTCATGTCGTTCTAAGAGGGGATGGTAAGCTTTTTTCTGCCAAAGGTTATTTGGATATTTATGTGGGCCATTCAAAGTTAATAATACAAACAGATGGCCACAGGCATGTGTTTCTGTCATGTGTTATATACTAAATGATTTTGAGGGCCTATGGACTAGATGTTCCTCACCACCATTCTGAGACTATCTTAATTTATCCATTGAGGGAGAGTTTTGGTACACTTGAAATCTACACTTACTATAGAATTACTGTTTAATAACTTGTCTTTCAATGATTTAAATATATCATACCTTCTGACTTGATGGTTTACAATCAGAAATAGGCTGTTAATCTGGAGATTTCTTATGTAAAGAATTATTTTTCTGTCTCAAGAGTGACACTCTTAGGTCTCTTGAATATAGTATATCTCTTGATTATAGTTTGAGTACGGCATGTCTCTATGTGATCTCTGGCTTAACCAAATTTTTCTGTCATATCCTCAAATATTCTTTTTGCCCCTTTCTCTGTATTTTCTTCTGGAAATTTTTGTCTTGAAGTATAGCATCCTGGCTTCATCAAAAGATGTTGTCTTTCTTCCTGTGACTAGGTCATACTTCTTTCTTTATATCTCTTGTGATATTTATCAGACAGTTGGAATCCTTTTTTTACATGATTCTTCCAGTTAGTAGTGTGTGTGAAGGTTTTCCCAGGTCATGTCAGAGTTTGATAGGTGATTTATTTTAAACAACAAATACCTTGCAGCTTGCTTATCCATTTACCTACTGAAGGATATCTTGGTGGCTTTTAATTATGAATTGTAATTGTAAAATAAGGTATCATAAACATCCTTTTTTAGGTTTGTCTGTGGACATTGGTGTTCAAGGTATTTGGGTGAATACCAAGTAGTGTGATGATTGATGATGCTTATTGATTGTAGTTTAAAGTAATTTATTTTATTTATTTTTTAATTAACAGGATTGCCTTTGAAGTGGTTTTTAAAGTTTTGAATTACACAGAATTCGCTGCACTGTGGAACAACCTTTCCAGCAATGATTACTTCAGAGTTACCAGTGTTACAGTAAGTATTATAATTCCCTTTTCCTTTTTAAGGGAAAAATGAGTAATATTATCTATCATAATGCTCTTTGATGGTACAAATCAAATATGTTCTTTGATACTGGGATAATTTAAATCTATGTGTTAGGACATACAACTTCCACATCCACTCATAGCCTTTGCTATTAGAACATTGATATCTTCACTAATGTAGTAGGACAAGATAGGTGTTAATGTCCTGTTTTGGTGGTCAGTAGACTGGCCAAAACCAAATTTGGCATGCTGTCTGTTTTTGTAAGCAAAATGTTGTTGAATTGGAGATACATTCATATCTTTATGACTGTTAACGGGTCCTCTGTACTACAAGTTGTCATAGTGACTGTTTTTTCTAGAAAACGTGAAATACTCAGTCCAGTGATTTACAGACAAAAGCTTGTTGACCTCTGTCCTGTATTTACTCCTTTTCTACTCTTCCCTTGCTCTTCTGCTCCATTACGATTCTTTCTTTCCCCTGAGATGGAAATTGTTGAGCCATTCTAGTTTATAGAAGAAGCTTAGAGAATGCCAGTTGGTAATTTTGGTTATATATAACTGGGTTTGTTGGATTTGTAGACAATTCTTCAAATTGGAATTTATTTGGGAATCGCTGAGAAATATGATTACAGGAATATTCGTACTATTCTTTATATCCTTTAGTTCAAGATGTAAATCAGGGGATCTGTATGCTTTGACCTTGTATGATGATACTTTAAAGTAAATGTGATAGCTATTTTAAGTATTTCATTACTACTTCACTTCATTTCTATACCTATTTTTCAGGAATTAGTCCTCTAGTATCCTTTTTTTCTTTCTAGTCTCCTTTTTTTCTTTCTTTGCTTTTTGTTCTTATGCACTTTGTTGTTGGTTATGGGGCTTGAACTCAGGGTCTGAGCACTGTCCCTGAGCTTCTTTTATTCAGTACTAGTTCTCTACCTCTTTGAGATACAGCACCATTTCTGGCTTTCTGGTGGTTAATTGGAGATAAGGGTCTCACAGACTTTTCCTTGCTAAGCTGGCTTCAAACTGCGATCCTCAGATCTCAGCCTCTTGAGTAGCTAGGATAACATGCATGAGCCACCATGACCCAGCTTTGTTAGGCACTCTTGCATTTACCTATTCAGTTCACCTTTCTTTCTTTCTTTTTTTTTTGGTCGTGGGGTTTGCACTCTGGGCCCGAGCGCTGTCCCTCAGCTCTTCAGCTCAAGGTGAGTCCTCTACCACTTGAGCCACAGTGCCACTTCCAGTTTTCAGGTGATTGGAGATAAGAGTCTCATGGACTTTCCTGTCCAGGCTGGCTTGGAACCGCGATCCTCAGATCTCAGCCTCCTGAGTAGCTTAGATTACAGGTGTGCGCCACCGGTGCCCAGCTCCATTTATATCTTTAATTGAGATATCTTTCATCTACTGAAGTTCCTCTGAGTCCTCAAAGCTAGGGTAGCTGTTCTGTGCTTCTACATTTCTGTATGTTTTTTTCCCTAGTTCCATACCTTGTATACCTACAAATTCTACCTCCTAAATTGAGCACTTTTATGGTTTTTTTTTTTTTTTTTTGTGGGGAGGCAGTAGGGGTATGGTCAGCTCCTAGCACTTACTGGTTGTTAGGCAGACCGTCATAAACCGAGAAAGAGGCTGGTTTTAAATTGTGTTTGTATTTAAAGTGGTTGTATTGATACTAATTAAGGTGATGTTTTGTTTTATTTTTGTTTTCGAGATCCAGACCTAAACTCAGTATCTGCCACTTCTACTCATTGGCTGTTGCTCATCCGTACTTCCAACATTTCATGTTATGTTGTGTAACTGAATCATTTTTCATGATGAAATTGTAAAACTGTAATATATGTGTTGGTAGTAGAAAATAGTGATCTGGAGTTTGGATGCCTGAGCTCTGGTTTAGATTTGTCAGCTAGATAATGTTACCTGTGATGCATTGAGCTTTAATAAGTTTAAAGGCCTAAATTTTCTGGATGTCTTGTGGATGTGTTTGTAGATATTATTTTGCTTAGCCCCTACATGTATCTAGTAATAACCTTTAGTGTTAGTTTTTCATCTCTGATGAAAATAGCTGAGATAACCAATTGACTCTGTCTGTCTGTCTGTCTGTCTTGTGGCACAGGGGATTGAACTGAGGACCTCATGATTTGCTAAGCTGGTCTCTACCACTTGAGTCACACCTCCAGCTGAGATAACCAATTTGTAAGGAGGAAAAGTTTATTTTAGCCTACAGTTTCAGAGATACCAGCCTATGGTTATATTGCTTTGTGCCTGTAATGAAACAGCATATTGTGGTGGAAATACGTAATGGAGAGACTTCTTACCTCTCCATGGCTGGGAAGCAAAGAGCGGAGTGGACTAGAATACCAATAACCTCTCAAGTATATGCCACTAGTGACCTGACTTCTTCACTACTAAAGCTTCTCCCATCTTCCTGTAGTGCATAAGGAACAACGTTTTTAATACATAGACCACAGTGGGACACTTATCTGAATCATAGCTTTCTGCCCCTGGCACCAAAAGGCTCATGTCCATCTCATAATGCAAAGTACATTTAGTTTTCTTCTAATAATCTCTACAGTCTTCTTGTTGTAACATTGCTGAGAAGTCTAAATCCAAATTCTCCTCTGAGGCTCAAAGCAAGCTCAGCTGTGAATCCTTGTAAAACTTAGTACCAAAACAAACAAAACTTTGAAGATACAGGTACAGGGGCAACATTTTGCGTTCTCAAAGGGAGAAATAAGAAATACTAAGGAAGAATTGGATCCCAGAGCAAGAGCAAAAACTCAGCAGGATAAACTTTTATCATAAAGTTCCACATCTGGGACCTCAGCCCTGCTGGTGTAGGATGTGCTTGGAGGGCGTGGTTAGTAGATCTCTGAAGCTGTGCTGGTGCCACCCACCTCTCCTCTCTGGGGCTGGCTTTGTTTCCTGGCTGCAGCTCTTTTCTGCAGGCATTGCAGATCCTATTGTAGACTCAGCTCCACTCTTATAGCCTAGCTTGTCAGAGGTTCTTTGCGGGGACTACTCGGAACCTGCCACACATTGCATACGTTTTGAGGCTCTTCTTTGAAACCTTTCTGGAACCTTCCACTCCAGAATTCTGCATGCCTACAAATCTAGCACCGTGTGGATGATGCCAAGGTGTCAGCTGTACCTTTACTTGGTCTGTTCAGGTTGCTGCAGCTGCAGCTTTTGAGCATTTTGCCCATTGAGTCCTTGGAAACAGATCACAGGGAAACCATTCTCTGATGCCCTAGGAGTTCTCCTCTCCAATGAGAGACGCCTGCGTTTTCCAGTGAGGTACCATGAGCCTAGCTATGAGTTTGGTGTTTTGTTGATTCCTGAGAATGCCTTAAAGCATCCTTCCTGTGTTGGCTGCACAAAGCCCTTACCCTCATTGTAATGACGCCACCAATGCCAGCCACACCTTTACTCACATTCCTTTCCTTGACTAGGCGTCAGTTTTTCAAATCTTTCTACTCTGCATTTTTGCTACAGATTTATTAGTGTAAATCAAAAGCAGCGTAGCGAGCGGGATGTCCAGCTTCAGAGCAAATTTCTTCCTTGTGGTAGCGACGGAAGAGTAAATTTAAAATGAGTGGTGTTGAGAAAGGCCAGAAGATTTTTCTTCACAAGTGTTGCCCAGTGCTAGACTGTTGAAAAGGAAGGCGAGCACAAGACTGGGCCTCATCTCCATGCTTCTGTTTGGTCAGAAGACAGGTCAGGCAGCTGGATTGTCTTACACAGAGGCCAACAAGAACAAAGACATCACCTGGGGAGGTGATACATGATGGAGTATTTCATCCCTGGAACAAAATTGATCTTCGCTGGCATTAAGAATTCAGGAAAAAGGGCAAATTTGATAGCTTATCTCAAAAAAGTTACAAATGAGTAATAGCCACTGCCCTATTTATTGCAAAACAAGTGCCTCATAGCTTTTTAAAAATAATAATGAAATTAAAAAAAATAATACAACAGAATTCAGATCACGAATGGCTGTTGAAGTAAAACTGGCTTGTGGTTAAGATAAATATGATCTTTAAAAAAATATTGTTTTGGGGCTGAGAAGGTAGCTCAGCGGTAGAGTGCATGCCTTGCAAGCATGAGGCCCTGGGTTCGATTCCTCAGCACCACATAAACAGAAAAAGCCAGAAGTGGCGCTGTGGCTCCAGTGGTAGAGCGCTCGCCTTGAGCTGAAGAGCTGAGGGACAGCGTCCAGGCCCAGAGTTCAGGCCCCATGACTGGCAAAAAAAAAAAAAAAATATTGTTTTCCTTTTCTGTGATAATGATTAGACTTAGTAATGCTCAATTTTTCAGGAAGATAGGAAGAATACCTGTAAAATATTAGTTTTATACTTAGATTTATATAACTAGTTATGAGGACTTTTTTGGGGGGGGGGCTAGTCCTTAGGGCTTGAACTCTGAGCCTAGGCACTGTCTCCCTGCTGGTGTTCTTAAGGCTGGTGTTCTACCACTTGAGCCACAACGCCACTTCTGGCATTTTTAGTAGTTTATTGGAGGTAAGAGTCTCATGGAGTTTCCTGCCTGGTCTGACTTCAAACTGTGATCCTCAGATTTCAGCCTCCTGAGTAGCTAATATTATAGGCATGAGCTATCAGCGTCCAGCTTATGAGAACCCCTTTAATATTGAGGAAATCACTTTACCATCTCAGAACTGAACAAGATTCATTTATGTTTCAGTTTATGGTCCTTAGCCTGTTACAGGCAATGGATGAAGATGAGGAAGCAATGACTGTATTTTTGGTCTTGACTATGACAATTTAATTAGAATTCTGTCTCTGAAATCTGTCTTTTACTTATTGAAAGGCATTTTAGTGTGGCTTATGTGTAAATGTCAAATAAAGAATGTTTAACCCTTCAAAAATACTCATCCTGCTTCCAAAATATTTTGTTACTTTAACATTTCTTCCTCTAGATAACCTAGTTTTTTTTTACCTTTATTTTCAACCTCCCACAAAGTCTCAG